CTTCGCTTCTCCTTTCGCCCCCATCTCTGGTGCTACGTTTAAAGCCGACGGCGTCTGAAGAGTAGAGCTCGGCCTTGGCCCATCAGGCTCATCGCGAACACTGGTACTGCTTCGTACCTCCTCCTCCTCAGGTGCACGTGAAACTGTCGATGGCGCCTTCTTCTCTTTGGGACGCTTCCTAGTCACTTCTTCCTCATCTTTCTTGTCCCGGCTACGCTTCTTTGTAGCGGCAGTAGGTCCACTCTCGCTCCGTCCAGCAGAACGCGACTTGACCTCTGGTTGGGAACCTGATTCACCCCATTTACCTTTAGGTGACTTTTTGCCTCCTAGGCGATGCCTTTCTGCCTCGCTCCTGGTACGCGCCTCACGCTCCCTGTCCTCATAGGACTCAGCCTTGATCCCATTTACCTCAGCCAGGCAGGACGGATGACAATCTTTATAATGATTCAGCAGATTATCCCGCCGATTGTTCTTGTGTGAACACTGCCGGCACCAATAAAACACTCGTGGCCCATGCTCCACTGTCAGATGTCGGTCCAGACTCCTCCGATGTAGAAACACACTGTGGCATTTCGGACAGTCTATTGTCTTCGCCTCGTCTAGGTCCAGTGGAGTCCTCTTTGCTGGCGAGTCTCGACCCATGTTTTCCTCCTGACAATGATGAAAAGAAATGAATCTCGTTAGTTTCTCATGGCTAGTTAAAGAACTGGCTCGGGCATTCCGTAGCATGTCCACACACGCATTCTGTTCAACGCTTGGGTAACCCTTATGGTCTGGCCTGTATAGGTTCCTTCCCCCGGCTGCTCCTGCGTACTCATCGCTGCACTTCACCCGTTCTCCATTTACTGTGAGCTCAAGTGTCCTAAAGTTGAGTGACCCGCATGTTGGGTACAAAAAATCCATACCCAGGATTCCATCCATAGAGTGTAAATTTCCGAAGGTCGCGTACACTGGATGTGTCGTTCTTCCAACCTGTAACTCCACCCAGGCGCTACCTAACGTCACTATCCGCGAACCATCAGCATTTTTAATGCACGAACCCTCATTAGAAAGATGAGGCCTATTCTCAGGTGAGATCTTGTGGTAGAGAGTAGATGACAGAAACGTGTCTGTTGCCCCGGTGTCCACCAGAAGCTTCGCCTGCTGTCCCCTCACCACTGCTGGTACAAACATGCCCCTTTTCACTCTTTCTGCTGTTGCAATTGAATTGGTAATTACATGACCCTTGTCTATTGGTTTGTCTCGTGGACGACGGTCTTGTGGCCCTCTTCTCCTCCCAGCTTTCCCTCGGGCCCTGGGGTCAGCTGCGATCCGTTTCCCGACCCGTGTCTCTTTGCTGGCGGCCATTTACAGTCACGAGCGAAATGTCCTTTCCTCTCGCACCTGAAGCACACAATGTCCTCTCTAGGTCGTCTCCTGTAGGAGGTACTCGGAACGCCTTCTGTCATGTTTGGCTTGTCGTTCCCTGCACCTGTAGGTCTCCCTTGCACCAGGTTAGCCACCCACGCTTTTGTCTCTTCTTGAGCTCTTTGTATGGCCTCTGCCATCCGTTTCTGGCTATTTCTTACGAAATCCTCCAGCTTTTCCACCGAAGAGTCATTTTGTCCCTCTAGTACTCGTGCTTGCTTTGGGTTGCGACTGGGCCTCTGTTGTTCCACCTTGAGGAAACTCTCTGTCGCCATTGCTGCCCTTATAGCCTCATCGAGTGTCTTTGGCTGTGTCCTGAAGATTCCTTCACGGATGGCCTGGTCCTCTATCGCGTCCGAAAAGTGACCTCTCGCTAGGCGATCCTTCCCTTCGTCTGCTATCTCAGGATATGCCAGCGTGGCCAACTCCCTGATTGACTGACCTAGCTCCCTCAGTGTTTCCTTTGGTCCCTGTCGTCTGCAACGAAGCTCCATCAAGTGGTTTTCCGACAATTGGCCCGGTCCGAATCTCCTCTCCAGCCTGTCTTTTAATTCTTTATACGTCATCGTTTGACTACCATCCGGACTGTTTGATAGCACCTTCACCGCTATCCCCTGCAAGCTCGCAGCCAAGAAGACTTTAGCTTGTTCGTCCGTCCACCCGTTAGCGAGTTTGCACGCTTCAAAATGCTGCCAAAAATCCCTCCATACAGTCTTGCCGTTGTACCGATCTGGTACGATATTAGGTCGCTTCAACTCTGCAGGCGAACGGCCGTCTCTCTTCACTTCAACCACCGGCTCTCGCCTATCTAGGCTAGACCTGTCCTCGCCTGAAACTTGCTTTTCTGGCTCTGATGCTCTTCCGGCTGCACCTGCTGAGAAATTCCTCTCCATTGACCACCCTTTTTCTGTATCAGCATTACTCTTGATTTCTTGTTGGGACGCTTCTACCGAGGTCGAAGATGTGACTGGTGTATTTGTAGGTACCAGTAATGAAGACGATAGTGTAGGATACCTGGTTCTGGGTTTTGGCGTAGGTCTGCACCTTGGCATAGGTGTTGACGATGATATCAGGCTACTTGATGCATCTCTAACAGTGTCAAGGTATCTGAAACTCGTTGTTGGTAACTCCACTTGGGCACCTGCCTCTGCATCCACCTGCCGACTTTCAAGTTGCACCCTTCTCGTCTCCAGTTTGTCTAGCTGTTCATGGAGTTGACCCAATTTTGCCCAGAGCTTCTCAGTCTCAACTTCTAGGCGTTGTTGCTCCTCCGCGTACTGGGAAGTTTCAGCCGCGTCCTCGGTCAGTTCCTCTATTAGTACCGGTCTAGGTTGGTTTGCTTGTTTCTTTTCCATGACGTACGCCTATCTGGGTGACTCTGTCCTAGGTAGGTGATTGTTTGCTCGTAGTTCGTGATGGGTTCTGTGTTGTGTAATCCTGGCGCCTATCCCACTTCTGACACCATTTGTGGCGGTCTTGTGTCGACGATGCCTTGGATATTGCTCTCTGCCGACCCGACGAGCGGCTGTGGGGAAGGCCAGGGGAACAGGTCCGTTTTGGGGCAGTCTACCGCCAGGCGCTCAGGGAACACACTCACTCGCGCTCTCACGCAAACCTCACGAACACACTCGGGGAAGGGCTAACGTCCAATGAATAGATCAGACACTCGGGTATTTAGGGCTTCACTGCTTTATTGTAACTACTTGGAGACCCAATAAGATGCGTCCTACTTAGGTGCGTCCTACTAAGGTGTGTCCTACTTAGGTGTGTCCTGCTCAATTGTAAGAATTGGCCCCTTTCCAATAATCGTCAAGAACTGGAATGCTTCCCGTACCAACCAGATTTCCTAATCCCTACACTCACCGGAACTAAACTAGTGCTCTTCCTGAGTGAGAGACTGACCACAGCTGTACTACACACGCTTCAGCAACTCCAAGTCTCTGAGCGGGAACTGTGCTACGCTTCGCGCCACAATTTACAGCTAAAGCACACAACGTGAGCAGTGCAATGGGAGAGTGCAATCCATGGACGAGTGAAATGGAAGAGAGAAATGGAAGAGAGTGAGTGCGCGCGCGACACGCGCTTATATACCCGCGCTGGGTACCAACCAGCCACGCTACTCGCGCGCTGTACAACGGACAGAAGTCCGCGTACCAACCAACTAAACTACGGTGAACATAGCGCGCCAATATTAACTGTTCCGCTACAATATGATACTGCATGTTGTCTCGATATAAGATCGTAACAGTTTAATTTTAAAAATCGTGTTTTCGTAACCGTGCACGCCATGCTCGCGCTGCGACGAGTTGACTCTGTTTTTACCCCAGACACCTCATACAAAAACAAACGCACCAGACTGTTGCTCATTTGCATACGTGTTCAAAAATCTTCCACATGCAAATGATCCAAAACCAGGGTGAGAGAGCAGGTAGTGATGGGCGTGTACTGCACAGAAGGGTTTATTCATGTCTACACGGAAAAAAAAAGTCGCCCTCTGACTCCCCTTAACGCACATAAGGTATATATACTTATGTGTTGTGAAGCGCAAAAGTAGAAAACTGTATTTTCTCATTTACTGGTAGCAGAAAAATTACAACATCGGTTTTTAAAACAACTTAATTTTCTGCTAGCAGATATTTGGATCTCGGCGCCTAAAAAGTAGACAACTAACAATCTCAAATTCTTACCAGCAAAAATTATGAAGCTTTAGAAGTGGACAAGCCCGATTTCCTTATTTCCTGTATTGAGCGCCAAAAAAGGATAACCGTATTTTCCCATTTTCTGCTTAGTAAAATTTTAGGTCAGATTTTGTTGATAGATAAAACCCTAAAAATGGGTACTATTAACTGTAACGCGACAGTTACATTTCACAAAAAAGCCTCATTTTTAAAAATTAATGCACCTATCGATGATTGATTTAATTCCCCACTCCTCCTCTGGGCTGACCAACCCAAGATTGTCAAGTACTTTTGAATTGCTAAATCACCACTCCTGGCCCTATGGCAAAACTCAAGTGACAATCCCCTACATTCACGGGTGGGGTGCTCGTAAAACAAAGTCCCCACTCTTGGGCTTAAAAAAACGTGACCGTACCCCAACATATTTGGGCAGCGTCGGGCCAGGGAAGGGGTCGGGATAATTAATAGGAACATGACAATACTAAACATAATTTGTCTCATAAAAGTATTACCGTTAACTTCGCTGGTGGTCAACCGCGACCACCTCTCTGTTTCATCAAAGCGAGTATTCTAGATCCACAGCATTCAAAAAGGCTATAATTTAAAACATATTAAATCCAAAACAGGGAAAAGGTTCAAGTGGACAATATTTTTACGTGGGATGAGGAGATCACTACACATTTAAAAGTCGCTCAAGAAAACGTTCTCGTAACGTTGTGCACAATATTTCAGGACTAACGGCCGATCAGGAAGGAGTATTAAGATGCAACAACGTACAGTAGATGGGTAACCCAATGGAAATGCTCGTAGCAGGTGTAGGCGGGACGCGTGAGCGGGAGCTGAGCCGGAACCTTGCGGTGATAAGTATGCTTCAAAGGACCGTCAGCGAGATTAGTCGCTAGTGTGTGGACCAGCCTTCTCTCATCGGAATCGTCCACACTCTGCACGTTCATTAAAAATGAGTGTTCATAACGCAACACAATGCTGTCTTCCTTGGAGAGGGGACTGAATTCTTAAAGAATGTGTAACAAATACGATTTTTGCACTCCTTCCATTTCCAAGAAATGCCGTGCACCATTAGCCAGTAGCCCGACCCACAGACCGGCCGCTACCGCTGGTTGATTCAAGCCGTGGACCCGTGTGAGTGCACGGAGATCGGAATGGGTGGCCTCAACACCTTCGTACCGTACAGACCCTACGAGGTGACGTACTATGACACCTTTCTGATCAGCAGCGATCCTGAGGAGATACAGCAATGGCTGAACTGCACTGGTGAGTACACAAGCGGACCCTAGTCCCCCAAATGGGGCAATCTCCCGAAGTCTTAATAATTAAAGAACAGAAAGAATGAAGACGACTGTTTCAGATCGATGCTGTAGTGTACTCATCCCTTTTCCATCCACAGATTCATGTAAGATGAGAAGACTGTAAGAAAAGAAGCAAGGGCTAGGGGAGAGCGCCCCCATGCGTAAAATGAGATCCAGCCCGCCGTCCCCGATTTTAAAATTTTACAATAGCCGGCCGGTCAGGCAATTCTAACGACTGGCCTGAATGGTGCGCTACTGCTTTCCTAGATAAATAATAATTCATAAATAAATGAGAAAGTTTACCCATTCCTATTGGTTCAAAACCCGTCTCGTGTGTGGTTTTAAATCGCTGGTAAAACACCGCTGCGTTCTGTGCCGCATCGCGCAGTACGAGCCGTGCACAGGCAAATTTCCTTATTAAGGAAATTTTTAACACAAAGCGCGTGAAGAATATACCATACATACATGATCAGAGGAGTGTTTCACAAAACGTGATGTAAAAGTGTTTAAACAAAATCGTTAGAAATTTGTAGATTTTTGACTTGTTTTGCATTTTGGACAGAAAGGTATTTATGAACAGGAATAAATATGTACTTTGACCGGTATTAAACAAATACGTTTAAAACCGGCTAGGGCCTGGTCGCCGATAATGCCCCTCGCCTTTGGCATGGGCCATCATTCTGCGTCAAGGCCCCAAGCCGTTTTAAACGTATTTTTTTTTAAAAACCGGTCAAGCATATATTTATTCCCTTATTCATAAATATGTGAGACATTTTGCCTATTCCTATTGGTCCAGAGCCCGTCACTTGGGTGGTATTAAACGGTTGATAAAACACCGATTGGCTGGTTTAAACACTTTTCTGGTGTTACCCGAAATTAGGACTCCTGTGAAATCTGGTCCCTTTATCTTTTATTAGAGAAAGGTTCACAATCTTCAAATATAGGCGTGCGCAATACTACCAAAGTAGTAGAGTCATAGAGTCCTAAATTCACACTACACTGGCACTGCCACGCTCTGCGCCACCTCGCGCAGTACGCGCCACAAGCGCAATCTCCACATAAGGAGATTTTTTAGCACTACTCGTGGGAGAGGCACATACCTTAAACATAGCTAGTGGGATGTTTCGTAGAACATGAACATGAACAAAATCGTATAAATGTATGCCTTTTGAATTGTTTTGACCTTTTGACAGAAAGGCATTTATAAATGCTAATAAATATGTGCTTGCCCGGTATAAATCAAGTTCGTTTAAAACCGGCTTGGGGCCTGGATGCCGACACCAATCCCTTGAGTAAAAAAATAACAAATATAAGTTTTCCCAGTACTTTCAATGTATCATTTAAATTCCATGAAAAGATACTTCAAATTTTCACCCATAGAATCACATGACGACCGGTGTAATTCGTAAATATAGCATTCTGATTCGTCAACTGAGTTTTTGGCGTGGTTCTATCGCAGTACAGTAATTTCGTATTAATTTTTTCCCTGCAGGTAAGCTTTCTTGCTCTCTGGAGGGACCTCTCGGGATGGAAGATGGTCGCACCCCGGATGAACGCATCACAGCTTCGTCTTTTTGGCAAAACCGCGCTGACCACGCCCCACCCAGGGCCAGGCTTAATACTCAAGGTATCTGTTGTATTCAGCTTAATAACGTTATACTTTTAATTTAGAAGCACGTTAGTAAGGATTTATTCCTCACCATTTACTGCTACAACTCAATCGAGCAAATTTAATCGCATTGACGGACGGTCGACTCTTCGTGCCGTACCTTCACGCCTGCGCAGGCTGTTGTTGTATACGTCTATGCGAGCGACCTCAATAGGCTGGTCCCGATTAGTCGACACTACTAGTGTAACTTTTGTCGGCTAGCTTGGGGTAGGGCGAAGACTGTCGGACTTCAGTTAAAGACTGTCGGACTACAGTTAAACGTGTAGTATAAACTTAGATTCAGCTTTCCTGTCATTGAGTGAAAGCATTCAATAGACATTAAAACCCGTGCTCTTTGGGAGTGGTACTCTTACAAGTAAATGTTAAAATTGAATTGATAATTTTGTTTGCATTAATAAAGTTTACAAACAGACGTTGAAAATAAAACTCGGTTTACGCTAAGATATCATTTTTTTTCAAATTGGCTTTTCAATTTAGAGCGGACTGTTTGAGCTTAAAATAAGCGCTATCAAAGCTCTTCTTAAGGAATTATTGCCTTAATACTAAAAAACAAATCCTAGTGATGAAGAACATCATACTCGAAAAAAGTTAGAAAATTTGAAATATCATGCAGATACTAACTTTAAAATAGGGGAATTAAGCAAACGTTTTTCATGCTCAACAGGATACGCTGCAGCATGGTGTAACGCTGGCATCACTGATAATATCAGTCCATGGATACAGGTTGACTTCAATGACACAGTCACCATCACTGGTCTGATCACCCAGGGGCGCGGAGATCACGACCAAAGGGTGACGGAGTACCAAGTGACGTACAGCGATGACGGTCAGTCCTGGAATTACGTGACTGATGCAGACGGCACACCAATGAAGGTAGGATTATTCAATACCCAAAAATATCAAACGTCGTATGCAAACTTACAATTATACTTAAATTCGAACCATTAATATTGTTAATTGTTCTTTTTGTTTACAGTTCCCTGGTAACACAGATAGGACCACCCTGGTAACTACTCGCCTGCCGTTTGCCTTGCGCACCAGAATCCTGCGCATTCACCCCACTGAATGGCACGACCATTGCAGCATGAGGTTTGAATTGATTGGCTGCTATTAGTCAAACTATTTACGATGTTATTTACATGAATATTTATTTTTTGCTTGTAAATATTGGCTCTTAACTAACTAGAATTGTATGATTGCCATTTAACATTTTATCATGTCGTAAATTTTATCAAACGTAGACGATGAATTTTTTCAGAAACTTTTCTTGAGTATGTTAGTAGGGACAACTAGTAACTGAATCAATGTAAGGATCCCACTTTTAGGAAGTGTTGCCACTGTATTATGCACTCGGACAAAACACTGATTACATTGAAGATAGAAACCAGTACTTAAGATCTTACACGAATCATTAAGATTTAATTGGATTTCAAAAAGATTGAGTTAAAATTCAAAATAAGAGTATTTTTTTTCTGATTAAGTAACTGTAATTTTTATTACATAATTATTTGGTTAAAATTCCAAACTGAAGTCAAATTTACAAAATGTCTAAATTTCCACGCGCGTTCAGGAAGTGGACCCCGTCACTGCTGTCCTTCCTCCATAGCACACAAATGAGTCGGTGGTAATTGATAACAGGTTTGAATGATGAGCTTACGTGCAAATTAGGCACAAGCACGTGAATGTCACGTGAAAACGTGACATAAGCGCCTTCAGTACCTATTGTTGGTAGATACGTGCGCTTTATAAGACTCCGGAATTATATAACAAATAGTGACACGGAGCGAGTTAACTCAAAATAACTCGGTCAAATAATGTAAAATGCTCACAAAGACCCACCAACAGCATCTACAAAATGCCACCCATTATATAAATAGAGTGATCGCTGAGAAACGATCTACCTTAAAGTTAAAAGTGTGACGAAAGGCCGGCGAAAGGCCAGTGACGTCGCAGCAGCATGGCGACCCACAGCAAGAGACCGTCAATAGTTTGTGCACATAAGCTGCGCACCTAGCAACAAGATCCGAAGCCTTCTGCAAACAACGCCCAAAAACATGAAGTGCATTATATCCATATAGAACTATATTAAATTTAATATAGCTCTATCATTGAACTATTCTTGTTGATCCATGTTTAACAGAGATTAGAACGCAAGTACTTAAACACAAGATCTATTGGAGTATAATGTTAGACTTCCGATCAAAGATTTTTGGGGCACCAAGTCAACATTGGATACATACACCCTGCATTCTGTCGGGGTCACATGCAAATGAGGGCATATGCAAATAATATGTGATAAGGGAAATCCCATACCCCTACAGTATCAAATACAAATTAAGAGTTTCAAGAATTGTGTCAACTTCTATTATAATAGGGTGCCTTCGGCACTTTGCACTCTTATTTAACTGAAACGCACAATGTTTACGATGGAGAAATAAAAGAGACAATTGAGTGACATCGATATTTCAAAGAGTGTCGCCGAGTGAAATAGCATGGTAGCCAATTCTGATGCAGCTCGGTTAAATTTCCAATTTAAAGACAGGTTATGTTGTTACGAGGAAAACGTTTCCATGGAAACTGCTTAACTTTCTCAGAGTTTTGATGCGCCTGGTGGCTGCTCATACCGTTAGCTCTCCCGATCACGTTATTGTATCATGGATCTACGGCTCTAATTGAGGAGAAAAATCAACTGGAGTATCAAGTAACGACTTGTCATCATTCCTAGATTCATTTCAGTATCAGATTATTTGTCAATTTGACAAGATTGTGAAATTTTTCATCGAAGTCAAACTGAAGCTAATACTGTCTACTGCACCACACTGTTTGGACAGGAGCTTTCTACATACACCAATGGCCAAGCCTGCATTGTTGGTTCCAGTATTGTGTGCATCGTCTGCACTAATTGCGCCACCAGTTATCTCTCTTGTCACCCATTCAACAGTGACAGTAATGGAATACCAGCCAGCCCACTCCTATTCAAGAGACGAACTGATTCGCCTGAACAAATGACAGCTAAAGCTACCTCTGGATGTGTACAAATGTATACAAAGCCTCAATCTTGGAGTAGTTAAACCAACTAGAAGGGGCTGCAGAGGAGGAATAAAACGACACATGCAGCAACATTTGGCAGTTCCACCTAACCCAGGTTCGAATTTGCCTCATGACAATTCCCCTCATCATACTCAGACAAAGAAAAACACAACATTCTGTTCAGTTAACCTTCAGTCAATCAGAAATAAAACCACAGCATTCGTGGACTTCATCTTAGACAACAAATTCGACGTTGTCGCAATCTCAGAAACCTGGTTGAAGCCTGGAGATGAAGCAATCATAAATGGCATCACCCCGGCTGGCTTCTCAATCCAGCACATCCACCACCCTTCCTCTAAACGAGGAGGAGGTCTTGCCCTTCTCTACAAGTCCGGATTAACTGTCCGATGCCATGATATCCAGCCATCACCCAAATCATTCGAGTGTTTATATGCTGAACTCATAAGCACTTCAAACTCAATCTCCATAGTGCTTATCTACCGCCCACAGACAAAATCCACTGGTTGCTCTTTCAATGTTTTCATTGATGAATTCTCGTCCATCATTGACCAGCTCTTACTAAACCCAATGCCCATTTTCATCACTGGTGACTTCAATGTTCATGTGGATGACCTAACTGACACAAATGCATGTAGTTTTGCATCGTTGCTCTCAAGCAGTGGCCTACACCAACACATCTCGGATGCTACCCATACTGCCGGTCATACACTTGACTTGCTGATCACACGAACATCGGACATTGCAGTATTCTCCAATCCCCAAATCATTGGTGGACTATCAGATCATAGTGCTATAACATGTGATCTTTTGCTCGAAAAGCCAAGTAATCTCACCAAGGTTATTTTCAAACGCCACATCAACGCCATAGATACTGTTCAATTCTGCAATGACATAGCCGTTTCGGATCTATTCCACTCAACCCCCACGGCTGCTCTAGGAACTAGGGTGAAAAGGTACAACAATACCCTGAAAAAACTCCTGGATAAACATGCCCCAAGCAAGAAACGCACAATACAAATTCGACCCAACTGCTTGTGGTATAGCGATGATCTTCATACTGAAAAGCAGAAACGGCGACATCTAGAACGTGCCTGGAGACGATCACGTCTCGAAATTGATCGCCTGCTCTACCAAGAACAAAAGCAAAAGGTCAATCACATGATGGCGACCGCTAAGTCAAACTACTACAACAAGCTGTTCTTGGCCAATGCCAAAGACCAAAAACAGCTTTTCAAACTAACTGACCGATTACTTCACAGGTGTCGTGTGTCCCCTCTCCCTGAAAGCAGTGACGATAATCTGGCAAATGAGTTCTGCTGTTCCTTCACTGAGAAGATCCAGAAGATTCGCCAAGGTTTCAAGCGTGTTACTACTGATTTGCTGCACGAGGAAGAGCTCTGTGCCTCACATCACCTCACATCATTTCAGCCAGTTACAGAAAATGATGTGTCTAACATTCTCAGTAAATCATCATCTAAATCCTGCGAATTAGATCCAATTCCATCATCCCTGTTTAAGAAATGCTCAGCTTCCCTTGTGCCGGTTTTCACTGGCATCATTAATGACAGTTTACTGTTTGGTGATGTACCGGATGATATGAAAGTTGCTCAGATACGACCTCTTTTAAATAAGCCGCATCTAAACAAAGAGGAAATGAAGAATTACGGACCAGTCTCGAATCTTTCCCTTTTGAGTAAAACCCTTGAGAGGGTAGTCTTAATGCAACTCTCATCTTTCTTAATTGAGAACAATCTACATGACCCGCATCAATCTGCCTTCCGTGCTAATCACAGCGTCGAGTCTGCCACCCTCAAAATCCAAAATGACCTGTTGCAGGCTATGGACAAGCGCAAGATATCATTGCTCGTGCTGCTCGACCTATCAGCAGCTTTTGATACAGTTGACCATCCCACATTATTCAGCCGCCTCAACACTCGTATTGGGATAGATGGAGTTGCATTAGACTGGTTTAAATCATACCTTAATGACCGATCTCAATTTGTCCGGGTCAATGATTCAAGTTCATCTACTGTCTCTCTTGATTTTGGGCTACCTCAAGGATCAGTCCTAGGGCCCGTCTTGTTCTCTCTGTATACAATGCCACTTGGTGAAATCATTCGAAAGCATGGTATATCCTATCATTGTTATGCAGATGATACCCAATTATACATGTCAGTAGACCCCCAACAACACAAGGTTGATTCAGCAATCCAGCAGATGGAAACATGCATTGATGACGTACGTTCTTGGATGACTCAAAACTGGCTTAAATTCAACGATGAAAAGACCGAATTTATCATCATAGGTTCAAAGCAGCAATCGTGCAAAGTTCATGTTCCATCCATAAGGGTTGGTGATTCAACCATCATGCCATCAAATCAAGTCAGAAATCTTGGTATTATCTTTGATTCATCTCTATCCATGGAACCTCACCTTACATCAATCTCTAGATCAGTCTGCATGTCGATCCGTAACATCGGACACATACGAAAATATCTTGACAAACACACAACTGAAATACTTGTTCACGCTTTCATCACATCCAAAATTGACATGGGCAATTCACTATTGTATGGCATTAACCTAAATCAACTAAACCGTTTGCAGCGACTACAAAACATCAGTGCCAGACTAATCTCTCTCACTAGTAAACATTCTCACATCACTCCTGTACTAGCAGATCTCCACTGGCTTCCAGTATCATACAGAATTAAATACAAACTTGGCCTATTCGTGTTCAAAATCCTCCACAGCAATGCGCCGGAGTATCTCATCGACCTCATCCACCCGTACTCAACAGCACGCACCGGACTCCGCTCCAGTGAGCTCATGATGCTTCACGAGCCCAGGACCTCCACTCTGTGGGGTGACAGATCCTTTGCTGCAGCGTCAACCCGAGTGTGGAACCAACTCCCTCTGGCTATCAAATCATCCCCATCCATCACAACATTTAAGACAAACATAAAATCTCACCTGTACAAACAAGCTTACTCTCACAACACACAATCTTAACTTGACTTTCTCCTCGAGCGCCATGAGCAGTGGCGTCACCAGACTTTTCAGTCTGGGGGGGGGGGGGGGGGGGGGGGGGGGGGGGGCATAGGGGGGGGGGGGCACCAGCATTTGATGGGGGGGGGGGGCACTTAGGTGGATACGGATCGCCGTCCTGGGGGAGGGGTCTAAGGGGAGGGGGTGCCCCCCTCCCCTTTGGAAAATTTTCGCATACGGAGGATGGGCTACATGCAAAATGGTGCCACATTTGATGCTAAATTCGATCTGAAGATATCTCCAGAAATTGCTATTTTCGAGGTAATGATTTTAACAACGCGCAGAATTTTTTTTTACCAACCCAAATCTCAGATGGGGGGGGGGGGGGGGGGGGGGGGGCACTCGGGGGGCACTAGGTTTTCCAGGGGGGGCACGTGCCCCCCTGGCCCCCCCTTGGCGACGCCACTGGCCATGAGCGCCTATTTTTGGCGGATACCGGCGCTTTACAAATGTTCTTTTATTTTATTATTATTATTAATTGTTTTGCAGAGATGACGAATAAAAGCAAATGAAAATGGCAGTTTGAGCGGCATTGGTGTCATTTCAATGAGTGTCGCTAAGTAAAACTGGTAGCCATTTTCGCTTTGGCTTGCTCGTATAAGAAGCAATGGAAGGACTTTATAGGGGAGATATACAATTATTTTGAATGACTTTTGCATGTGTTTCTCTCACCCTGCTTGGGAATTAAGGTAAATAATGGAACGGACAATACTGGCTGAAAAAAAAGAACATATATATTTTTCACTACAAACAACACCTTGTGTTACACAAGATTCTCGAAACGAGAATTTTTTGTTCTGTACTCTACTTCAAACTCCCTTTTAATGGATATAATTAATTCGTTCTTGTTTACGGATAAGAAAATGGAAGAGGAAAAATTCTATTGAAAAAACGTTTTTCAAACTATATTTCAAAGTATTTTCCAACGTTTTCGTTTCCAATTTCAAAACAATGAGTCACGACATACCAGACTAATTTACTTATCACAAGTTTTAAATTGATTGATACAAGATGAATTGATCTCTGAATGCTGCCATTCCGCAACAGCTGAGACGAATTTAATCTGCATTGACCAATATTCTTGACCAGGTACTTAAATAGGCTGACCAAACTTTGAAATTGAATGATAAATGACTAAATGTATTCAAAGCTTGTGTAGATTTTTCTCGGACTTTGAAATTGAATGACAAATATCTTAATTTATTAATTTTGCATTTGCCCGTGACGTCATACCAATGAGCAGCCGATGTGCAGCTGACGGGCTAACCAAACATTGAAGCATTTTGGCCGTTCTTTTGCCCACCTCTAACAGTTTATGTCACTACGTTTTTAAATTAATGTAAAATATTGGTGTGTCACGAAATGAAATTTAGTTAATGTAAGAACTATATATTGTGTTGTAAATTATTAAGAAACAT